GAGGCCTTTGTTCACCCCCCGGAGCCGTGTGAGATAATTTTTTATGGATGGGCGCTTTTTATTTAACTTCTTTTGGACTGATGCATGCAACACCCGCTGAGTGGCATTAAACAGTCAAAAAATTTTAATATAACTCCGACTGGATTCATCTGAAAGAAGAAAGTCATATACATCTAGGATGACCTGAGGGCGAGTAATTTATGGGCTAATTTACATTTTTGGGTGAACTAACCTTTTAAATCAAGACACATTTACTGGAAACGTGAACTGAACACATGAAGTCTTGTTTTCTGAGAAACTGAACAAAATTAAGTACGTTTATGCTTTAACCAACAATAAATATCTGTTTCCATCCATGTATTTCTATGCACATTTTGGGATATCGCATAAAAAAAAAAAACACGATGGAAATGCCAAGATGTGCATAAAATCTTAAAATGCGCATTACAATCTTCTGCGCTCCATTGAGGAGCATAATTTTTTCTATTCAATAAAAAAAATGCACATAAACTACGATGGAAACACGTTTACTGAATGACAAAGTCATGTGACTTTGCCTCAACGAATCATGTGATTGGATAACTGGACTGGTTAGCATCTATCTCAAATGTTGTTTTAATCGTTTTGAAATGCCTGAGCCAAAGTCCATCATCTAAACGATTTTCATTTTTATTATTGATACGTTGCGCCAGTTTAACAGAGAGTGGCGATTCTGTTCTCTTTAACACTTAGGATGGAAACGGTGCTTTACGCGCAAATGTTTTATGCGATATTCTAATTTCCCGCATAACTTAAATTCGCAAGATATTTATCAGATATTTGTTTTTCATTTGCGTTTTTAAAAAGTTTCCAAACAGACGACAACATTGTCAAAATGATCCCCAATTACATGGATCCACGAAAACAACGCTGTATTAAGCATGCCAGACCAGTAGATGGCAATGTCACTTTATAAAGAAACACAGTTTTCACAAATTCATGTTTTTGTAGTTTACACAGATGTTTTCAAAAACGTCCACTTTGAAACCCGTTTTAAAAGTTTGTTTTCAGGTCCCCAAAATGCTGCTTACGTGTACATTAACGGCCAAAATGCACAAGTTTTACGTTTTTAGTTGAAAATGGTGCAGTGTAAACGCCCCCTTAATTATAAACTCACTTCATTTGGATCAATTTCTCAGAAAACAAGACTTCTTATTTTGTCACTTTCAGTGTTGGGGAAAGTTACTTTTAAAAGTAACGTATTACGATATTACATTACTCAATAAAAAAGTTACTAATTGCGTTACTTTTTATGGAAAGTAATGCATTATGTTACTTTTGTGTTACATTTTGTCACCTGAGCTGGTTTACTTATTAATTTTTAATAACAAACTTACTCCAGTAAATGTCTTGATTTAAGAATCTTTAGACATTTGCACTGGAAAACAAGACTAATACGGAGAAAGAACAGCACTTTTTTTGCAGTGTGATCTGAAGATACAGTAAAAGTTATTTTCATATTTTAGTGTTTATGAGCAGAGATATTCAAAACATAAGCTGTTTGTTTTGTAAAATGAATTAAAAAGTAACAGAGATCTGTTGGATTTGTATTTTCTAACTTTGATGTATTTACATTTAGAGACCACACTGACATATGTGACCCTGGAGCACAAAACCAGTCATAAGAGTCAATTTTCTGAAATTGAGATGTATGCATCATCTGAAAGCTGAATAAATAATCTTTCCATTGATGTATGGTTTGTTAGGATAGGACAATATTTGGCTGAGATACAACTATTTGTAAATCTGGAATCTGAGGGTGCAAAAAAATCTAAATATTGAGAAAATCATCTTTAAAGTTGTCCAAATGAAGTTCTTAGCAATGCATATTACTAATCAAAAATTAAGTTTTGATATATTTACGGTAGGAAATTTACTAAATATCTTCATGGAACATGATCTTTACTTAATATCCTAATGATTTTTGGTATAAAAGAAAAATGTATAATTTTGACCCATACAATGTATTGTTGGCTATTGCTACAAATATACCCCAGCGACTTAACACTGCTTTTGTGCTGCAGAGTCACGTGTTGTGTTCCATTGGATTTATTTCTTTACTTGCTCTTAACGGAGCTTGATAAGAGCAGCAGAAACCCTGTTAGCATAGTTGCAGAGAACAGAAAGGCTAGCGTTGGTCAGTCGTAGACGGCGTGGGTCGGTTATTACAGTGCATGAATCTACGCGCTCACATGACTAGCACCAGTAAGATACGACAGACTGAGCGCGGCGCGACCCTTCCGTCCGTTCCTCCGCGGCGGAACCTGGTAATATGGTATGCGAGCGTATGATGCGGTGCGTGCTGCTCTTTGGCCGAGGCTGCGGCAGTCTGTCCGTGTGTCCATCAGTGCAGGACGATCTGGACGCTCATGTGCAGAGCGTCTCCTCGCTGCCCGCTGAGGTAGTCTGTGTCCGGCCGCTCGCCCGAGGGCTCTCTGCTGCCGGTCTGCGGCACGCTGCGGATTTGTAAATAATACGCTCCCGGCTGGAGAGCTTTCTTCTTGGATATGTGCAGGTAGCTGACGCCGTCCATCTGGTTCATGCGGAACAGGCCGTCGTCGTTGCCGTAGTCGATAGCGTAGCGCACGTGGTTAGCGAGCGTGGACAGCGCCGGCACGAAGTCGATGATGTGGTCTTTGCTCTTCAGTGTGCTGATGTTCAGACGCAGCTGCAGCGTATCATCCACGTCTACACTGGCCAGACTGACCCAGTCCAGATCATTCTGCAGAAACACACAGGTTTGTTTTTGTGAATTGTGGGGACATCCCATAGGCGTAATGGTTTTTATACTGTACAAACTGTATGTGCTATTGCCCTACACAGATTCAATCATTTCTGTGTGTCTGAGCAGCAGAAAAAGAGATTGATCATTCATGATTAGTTAGGATTAGCTAGTTATGCGTTTACATATTCAGACGTTTCAAATCTCTTTTAAGTCCAGCTTCAAAGCTTCCTCCTCATCTGTGTCAAATGTACTCATCCCTGCTTAGGTTTTTGGGTAATTATGCAGTCTTATAGACGTGACCCACCTTGACCGGATCTCACTGACCATGTGATCGTGTGCTTCATGTGTTGTGTGTTTATATCAGTGTAGAGAGTCACACACAGGTTATAAGAGCTCAAACGATTACCTGCAGCTCCTCGGTTCCGTTGACGTTCCTGCGTTTACGGCCCTTCTTCGGATAGCCGTTGATCTTACACTCGTAGCAGGCCTCGGGAGAGAGAGCGTTCTCGTCTCCATCAGCGACGGGAATCAGAGGAGATCCACCGGCCGACAGCCCCGCGCCAGACAGACAGTGCCTGAGACACACACACACAGGTTTGTTTTTATGGTTTATGAGGACTCTCCATAGGCGTAATGGTTTTTCTACTGTACAGACCGTATATTCTATTGCCCTACACCAACCCTACCCCTAAACCTACCCCTCACAGGAAACTTTCT